TATGTTCTTCAATTAGTTGAAACTATTGAAAATTTCCTCTGCTCTATTTCTTGACCATCTCTTCAGAAGCTCATCAATTCCTTTTCAGAATTTCTTTTCTTCACAACCAGGCCTTCGAGAAAGATAAGTATTTTAGGTTCATAAACACTTCTTTTTTCAAAAATTTAATAATTTTCCTCCTTGAATCTCCAATGCACTGTTTTACACTTCTCCTCTATGTTTGTCAAATATTTTACCAACATTCAAAACCCCACTATTATTCCTTCATTTACCAGACAAAATTTTTCCTACAAAAGCTGTGCAGACGAAATTGCCCCTCAAAAAGTTATTTTCCATTTCTCCTAACGACATAAGTACACGGAGTGACCAAAACCATGCAGATTTACTAATTTAGTGACATTTTTGGCTAATAAAAAAGTTTAGTGACCACAAATGGCACTTCGCAATAGTTCAATGACATTTCACGCAATTTGCTCATATATATATATATATATATATATATATATATATATATATATATATTAAATTTACATTATTTTTTTAAATTGTTGTGTCAATTAAAAAAATCAAAAGCAAATTAACTATCTCCACGCCACAAATCCAAATCTTATTTGCGTCGACCTTTACTAGAGCACAAATTTGTCATGATTTCTTATTTTCGCAATATTTACAAAAATTCACCCATGAACTAGTTATATATTAAACTTTTTTTTCTTTGTCATTAGGGACAACTTCTAATCTATTCCTATACTAAATTACTGTACTCTCTGAATTTTGCAAAAGTAAGAAAACACTTTACCTTCTTGTAATGCACTGGATCAAATTTGAACTCCGACCAATTTGAACCCCGACCTGGTGCAAGCTTAAAGAGGCTTTTCCTCTACGTTCAACTAGGCCTGTCAACGGGTCGGGTCTAGACCCGGATCCGGACCGGATCCGTGAAATTATTGCGGGTATGGGTAGGGATTTAATTCCGTTTTCCGAATCCGTTTTGTCAAACAAAAAAACGGGTCGGATACGGAATATAGTATTCCGACCAGTATTAGACTCGGATCCGGATATAAATGAATTAATAATTTAAAAAAAATATATTTATCAATATAATTTGATTAAGGTGATGTATTTGAGTAAAGTCAATTTGATTTCTTTTCTTATTTGATTTTTTCTTTACATTAGTTAGAAATTAATTTATAAATATATTTTTTTCTCATTTTTATTAGAAATTATAAATTTTGCTAAATTTGTTCGGGGTCGGATCCGGAATATAGAATAAAAGCCCCGTCGGATAAACGGGTCGGATCCGGATCCGATTTAGTAATTCGGATCCGAATCCGAAATAATGAATTCCGACCCGTTGACAGCCCTACATTCAACCAAGGCCCGATGGTTGCAAAAACCAGTTACGTAGTACTAAGCAAGACTTCTTTGAGACAGCCGACGCATCGCGAGCATAGGATGACCGTATCGATTGATTTACCAGTCAATTGGGACGAAACAACAAAATTCACGCGCTTAAACAGGAAATCAAGAATTAGTCGACAAAAAAAAAAAAAAAAAAAAAAAAAAACCTTCAGCATAATAAATCTAACTACCAGTACATGTTTATCATTCCTCACTTCTTCTTCTCCTACCTATGCGTCTCAAACTATCCTTCTTTCCTTCAGTCTTCCTCTCAAATAAACACTGAAAAGTCTTCTCATCTTCTTTCATGGATGATGGGGTAGCTGTTGAAGCTACCTTCCGTAACCATCATCAATCCCAAGTCTTGAAAGTTCTGCAAGCCCTCAAAGAAGCCTCCCACCAATTACAAACCAAGTCGGCTGATTCCTCCAATGCATCTGTCAAAGCTCTACTGGAGCTCGAATTTGTCTCCAACTCGATTCTTTCTTCTGACCCGCACCTCACAACTCTCTCAGCCGACCTCTCCGACCTCAAAAACTTGATCGAAAGACAGCAAAGTTGCGAGCCCACAACCGGAATCAGATCATTTTTGACTAATCGATTCAGAGCCCACGAGATCTCCCGCCTTGCCAGCTCGATCGAGTCCGAAATTCAAGCTTGGATTGATAGGGAGACCATAAATAACCTGACTGAAACTTTGGAGGAATGGTCCAGCTCCAACAACATCGTCCTCGGTTCATCTCCAGCTTCTTCGAGGGACGAGGAAAGTTTGCTGGCTCAACTGAGTCAACTCAGAATCCGGCTGGTTCAGGGCTTTGACATAGACTTACAGGACATGCTGTTGAAGTCGAGATTGCTCCAAAAATTGATATCTTTGCTGTGCAATGGGCATGTCTCCAAGAGGGTTCACGAAATGGCCGCGTACAGTTTGAAAGAGTTGGTTCTTTTCAACAAGGATGTGTTCGTTGGGGAAGTTTTGGTGGGACAAACCATCAAGTCATTGGTTTTAATGGGGACTTTTTTCAGTTTAGACGTCCTTAAATCGTTGATTAAAGCGGTAAAAAGCCCATTAGTCGATGAATTGGAGCCATTTGGCGGGATTTTGAAGATTGTTAACACTCTTGATTCTGCGGATATGGCAACTAAAATCATGGCGCTCGATTGTTTGATGGAAATCGGGTATTACGGGAGGAAAGAGGCTGTTGAAGCAATGCTAAGCGCTGGGATAATCAAGAAACTCGTATATTTGCAGAGGTCAGAACTGGGAGGTGATTTGGTAGACATGGGGAAGCGGAAAAGTGATGAGTTTGGTGGGGAAAATGGGGTGAACGTTGGCGGGGTGGAAAAAAGTGGGAGAGGGAGAAAAGGGTGCAAGGAAATGAGGTACTTAGAGTGCCATCCGTTTGCTAGTTGTGTGGCAAGATTTGCAGTTCAGGTGGAAGTTGGGGAGGGGCTGAGGCAACGGGAGAAGAGGGCGTTTAAGCAGGAAATATTGAAGAGAATTAGAGAGGCCTCTGTTTCTGATGCTGAAGCTGCTACTGTCATCGCTGAGGTTTTGTGGGGTTCGTCACCTTGACGAATTGCATGATATGATCGGCTTTTATGATCTGCAAAAAAAAGAAAAAAAAGGTTTGGGTTTCTTTTTCAGGTTTAATGATTCTTGTAAACGGATGGCTATATAGTACGCTATTTTTGTTGTAGTTGTTGGTTGTAAAAATTGTACATGTTTTAGCTGCTTTTTGAACGGAGACTTCGCAGGCTGCAAAAGCTTTCGAAGTTAGATGGTAGGTGGTATCGGCATTGTGTATAGCAGGAATTGTCCGAAGTTGGTTTTCGTGGAATGGTTGTTGGGTCATGCTCGAGTGACTGTCCTTTTGTCTTTTGATTCCTCCCTTTGTTTGCCCTTTTTTTGGGCTTTTGGCATTTTAGTGGCCACTGGATCCAGAGGAGGAAAAGGTACCCCTCCACACTGCACACAGAGACAGACAAAAGATTATACATGATTAAAAAGTTTCATAGCATTATTGATGTGACTCAAGAGGAACATTCCAGAGAAAGAGGATGAAATTTCTCACATATGCCTTGAACACTTGAGAGATTATGCATATAACTGCGGAAGAGTAGGGTTTTTTTTTTAATATTGATATTCTGTTTCTATGAAACATTTCATCTACTCTTTTTGTTTCATCATTTCATAAATAAGCTACGTTAAGAGGGTCTTTCGTGATCTTATGTTTTGGATAACTGACTAATATTTGTATATATATATATTTTTTAAATGTACTTGAGAGCCCAAAAAGACAAAAAAAAAAGGAAGTTTAATTATGATAACCAAATGCATCATGCGTGCTTTGAAAAGGATTAACTAAACTCGTGTTTCTTTTTTGGGATTTTGTTGGAGGAACTCTGCACGATTGGATCGTTCTGAGTCTGACATAACTAAACTAGTGATTTTTATTTTTTTATTTTTTGGCCCCTTCTTTACTTTGTCGAGAATGGAAATAGTCACCCAAAGCGAACTTCCTCGCTTTCACCCACCAGTACCGCCCATGCTTTCTTTTCTTCACACATAGGTTATTGGGAATCTTCTTGAATACGAAGTGATTGAAAGTCAGAAAAGTTGGAGGAGGAGACCAAAAGAGAAATCATGGTTCATGTCTGGAGAGGTGAATTTGTGAGACGACTCATCCCCAGCAACACAACTGGAAACTAGCCGATGCCAATCAATGCCCCCTGGACCATTGAGTGAGTGACAAAGAAGAGCAATGGAGAGGAGAAAGAAAGAATAATTTTTAACCAAGCAGATCAGGTGCGGTGCGTATGGGCTATCACATTCACAGTCAAGAGAGGTTAGTGAATATGATGGTAAACACCCCCTTTGACTTGGCCAAATTTGCCACACCGTCAAAGCTGCTCACAGTCGCATGCCCAGAGCAGACCATTCAATGTTTCGGCCTGCCTGAACCCCACTGCTTCCATCCACTCCACCTCACCTGGGTACCATTATCAATCAATGCCCTCTTCCCATCCCACAAAATCAACATCACCCCTCTTCGCCACCACCATTGCCTACTGGTGACAACTCACCCGCCTACCGTCTTCTTGTTTCAATGTTTGGTTGTTAAGCGCTCACAAGTTTTGAAGAAATTAAGCCGTTTCTTTTGCCTTTCTCAATTTTCGAACAAAATAAATAAATGGCTACAAGAAAAGTAAAAATCTATCAAATCTCGCTTAAGGAGAGTGACGTGGCTTTCTAAGAATCACCGGATCTACTTGCGGACTTTCTTTTGTACACACATAATATTATGGTCTCCACCTGAGGGTGCATGTTGGTTGGTGATGTTAATGACCAGTGGGGCTGCAAAATACAGCTTGCATGTGAATCAAACTGCTCATCTCATGTTTGGCTTCTTCCTATGTTTTGTTTTTCGTACATAAGTAGCAGCAAGAATCGTTTGTGAGAGATTTTTTAGGTTGAATTCAATACTAATAAATGGTTAAAAATCCAACAACAATTGGAACCGAACTCGTCTAAATTTACGACTTTGGTTTGCCCCCACTAATTGCTATGAAAAGTAACTTGTAAGTAAGAGAAGCTCACAAATACACGAGCATTGCAACAACCAAAAAAAAAACTTCGTTTATTTTCCCTCTAACTATGAAAAAATTCCAAGCATGTCTTGTCTGCGCCTGCTGCTGGGATTTCCTATACACTTGTTAAACTTCGCTCACTAGATGTTACTGCCAAGGTCCTACGATACACATTGAGAACAGTTCAAAGCCTTGCTGCCATCCAAACCGGAACCCCGGAGGATCATGGTGTTGAGGCATCTAGTATTACATCTTAAAAACTCAAGATAGGCCCATTGATCAACTAAACTAAATTTATCCTCTTCACCCCACCCCCAAAAACCCAAAAAAAAAAAAAACATTTAAAAAAAAAAACCCTCTTTTTTGGCATTTATCCTACTGAATAAAAGCCTCTACCACAAAAAATTCCCTCAATTAAGAAGGCCAGCTATAAAGAGACAATGTATTACCTCGGTGGTCTGTTTAGTCATCATGGGGCTTTCTGCGCAGCAGAACTCTAAAAATTGAGATTGCTGCAATTAAAGCTATTTCCATGCGTTCCGAGCTACTGGTCTTTACACAGAGCTGCCCCATTTTCCGACTATTTATATTTCCATTCACACACATTTTGGTACTACGACTCAATCTGAAGTCAGACTCTAAATTCAAACCCAATACTGTCTCCCTGTCCAAAGAAAGAACTGTCATTGAGACACCGACCTTATCATTTCTGACCGGGTAGTCTCTACCTCTCAAAGTAGCTCCAAAGCTCCCACCATAAGCAACTTGACCACCACTACCCATCTGACCAGCACTCATTGACAACTTCATCCTCTTTCCAACTACGATGCTATCTTCAACCTTAGCACCCAAGAAATACTTGTTTCCAAAAGAAGTCACACAAACACCACAATCAGTAAGATTGTACTTAAAATTCCTCAGCTTTATGTTACCGTGAACCGTGCACATTAATTCTTTTCCACCGGATTGAACATCAAGAGCTACACTGTATGTCTTTCCCTCAGGATCCAAATAACCCACAGCACATTCAGATTGAATACTAAAATCTTGCTTGTCCTTGCTCATTTGTCCAGTGACGCGAGTAAAGACATTCTTTCTTATTTCTGCAGATGTCTCAAGGTTGATTCCATCAAAACCCACGTCACGATCCCATCCATGAGGATCGAGTACTGGTCTTGCAAGCCACTGATCACTTGTCAGCAGGCAGCGATACCGATGGACTGGACAATCAGAATCAAAACTAGGAGGAACAGACATATCTGGCAAGAGAACAGGCTCAGGCGCAACCTCCTGATCGTTGGAATGGTTCTCAGCAGCCAAACCCTGACTATTGGAAAGTTTTTCCCTTATTCTTCGAGATTCTTCTAGCAGCTGTTTTCTCAAATAGAGGGTCTCCCTGTAATCCAACTCATCCAGATATTGCTTCTTCTGAGAGCTTTTCAATTTCTCAAATTGTGCTTTCGTTAAAATACGAATTGGAGGTAACTGATCATAACCATCATCTTCTTCAAAGTCTGAAAGAAGAACCTCATCAATTTTGTTATCTGATTCATTCAGCTTCAGTTCAGTATGATGCTTAAGAAAAGAAGAAAGAAGATGAGGAAGAGAAGGAAGTCGATTACTACTAAATGGTCCTAGTTGTATGCTGTCTCTAAAGTCCAAGAGGTTATTCACATCACCCAAAACTTTGGTACATAAGCACAATAAAAAAAATTGATACTTCCACACTTGTCCATTTGGAAGAATTTTCTCTCCCTTGCTATCAGTCCTGCAATGAGGATGATTGTCCACCAAAAGTACAGGATTCTCAAGTTTCGTATCCGACACGGCCTGGTGAATATAGTGTTGTACCAAATCTGTGCAGTGACTGATGAAAGAACCATAGCTGATAGGATAACCATTGGGACCTTCAGGAAGCGATGAGGAAGCATGAGTCATGACGAGAATGGTGTTAAACCATATTGCTGGATTAAAGACTTCAGTTACAAGCTTCAGCAATGGGAAATCGCTATAACCCATGTTGATCAAGTCTAAGCGTTCAAAATACAATATGATGTCTGGAGGAGATTTTCTCACAAATTGCTTCACAGAGTGTAAAATTTTCCGGTTTTTTCTGAAGGAACTTGGTGATGAAGGCAAAAGGCCAGGAGTGTCAATGAAGGAAATTCTAATACCATTCACAGTTCCCACAATCTCCTGAATGTGATCAGTAGCAGGCTGAAAAGCATTAGTCGGTGCCTTCATTTGATTCAATACGGAATTTATGGTTGAGCTCTTCCCAACACCACTTTTGCCCAGCACAAGTATTTTGATGGAGAAATCCAGTTTAGGAAGTCCAGATACCTCTCTTTCTGCTGCAATTTCCTGAGCCCTATCAATTCTTATATTCACCCTTCTAAGATCTGATTCCCCTGCTCGTATCAACATTGCAAGCTGAAGCCGGTATAAGACCTTTGACACCAAAAGGTTATCTTGTGAAAAGCCAAATCGCCTAAGAAGACGCAAGAACTTAATTTGAAGACACTCAATCTTCCCCACCGGGTCTAACTTCTTCACATCAACTGTACAATCAGACTGTATAGAATCACGACCTTCAATTTGCCGTGAACTGAAATTATCCTGATCTTCCTGGCTATCACCAGAAGCGTAAGGGGCATCATTTGGATTCTCCTGATTATATCCCGAATGGTGATATGAACCGGTAGAAACAGGGACTCTAATTGAAGTGTGAGCTGAACCAAAGGAATTCAAAAATCAATAAGTATAGGACAAAATGAATCAAGCAGAACACAAACTCAGGGTGATATATTTTAAGAATCTAAAAAATCGAGTGGACACGGGAAAATTGATTCATAAATTAAGGTTTGCCATGGGCACAGTAGAAAGCATAAATAGGACTGCCTGCAGTTTGTTATAGACTATTGAATGCAATTCTTAGCCCATTTAGCCCTCAGCACAAGCAAGGAAGTTTTACAAAATGAATCTACATAAAGCGGCTAGAAATATTCCAACTATCAAAGACTACAGGAAATTCAAAGTAGCACCAAATGATGAGTGAACTCTTCGTATCCATAAACTATTTATAAGAAATTAGCAAACATAGTTATCTTTTATTCCTCAGACATATGCACAAGCTGGAATAATTTGGGCCTAAAACGGAACAATCCTTTTGTAACATAAAAAAGTTTGGAACTAATGGATTTGTAATTCCTACACAATAAAGAGAACTACTACTAGTACCAATAGCTAGAGAGACAAAAACTGTACCAAGCAGGAATAAGCAACAAGCATTATTCTTATCATTCTGAAAGGGGATAAAACTAAAAGTTAACTTTTAAGACCTTAGTGAGCCACCTTCATAATAAAAGTCTTGGTACAGTTGGAATACGTCACACATTCCTAACAATGACTCACAAAGTTTCTTGCTGATAATCATATGATTAAGGGCACAAAATGCAACTCTAAGTTGGAAACCCAGAAACCAACGTCAACAACTCGTACTCTAGTTATCAACAATAAACAAGGACATACAAAAACATAAGCCAGAAATGAGATACAGGACATAGCTCACATAATGAGACATAATTATCTAACAAGGAGACCTTCTAAAGATCTTAGACATACAACTGGTACTTGCATCTGAACATGTTGAACTAAGGGAAATGATAACATGGATACCTTCGCTGCGAAACTCTTCATCCAGATGTCCCTCAGATAAAAGGCTGTCATTTGCAGACAGTGGCCTAGATGTGGCTAATGAGTTGGATAGTAGCTGAGATAAAACCCAATCCTTGACGCTCATCATAATTCCTTCATTTACATCATCGAATTGTTATTATTAAACTGTCCATGCAGATGTACCTCTGCTGAAACTAAATTTGCAGGATTAGCAGAAAGTGCAAACAACATTTAACTTGTAGTAAAATACGTTCTCAGCTATGTCTTTAACTATCATACGTCTCTGACCCTTACAATTAATATAAAACTAGCATAGTTACAATTTAATTGTCAGATTTTAGTCTCAGCTAATACTTATGCATATAAGTAAAGATAGTCAATAAATTATTTCTCTCGTCTGCCCAACAAAATCGTCTGAACATTCAGGTGTAGCATTTAAATCAATGCTAGCATCGTTGTAGCCCAATAGTCCAAAGTTTTCTTCATAACTCATTCCTTCAATCTCGAACTAGAAATAAATTGTAGGCCGCAGAAGAATAGACAGCATTCAACCCTCTTTCTTTCTTTTGCTTTCTTGTTAGTAAATTCTGCTAAATTTCTTCAACTAACAGGAAGAAATTTATAGAGAAATGAATTAAAAAATAGATAAATAAAGGGACTTAGGATGGAAAGTATTGATGGTTACCTGATTGGAAGTTAATCGCCAGCTATCCTCCAAGATTCAGAGCTTCAGATTAGCATTCAGAATCAGGCATAAATAAAAAAACCCACCTGTTCTCCGCCCGGAATTTTCCCGATTTTTCGTATATTCTTTGTCAAAAACTCAGTTTATCTGGAAATTTAAATCAAGGCCGCCGGAGAAGACTGTCACTTTGAACAGAAAAGAAACCCCCTTTGAAATATATAACCTTGAATTCATCAGTTGTGAACTTCGGATTTCCAATCAAATGATTCGTGCTTGAGAAGAGACAAGAGTAGAATGAAAGGGGATAAATTTGGGGGTTTTTTGAAAGGATAAGAGCTAAAAAACAAAAACAGCAACAAAACGACCTTACGTTTTCAATCTCCGCCTTGTAATATCAGAATCAATAATATTTGAAAGAAAAAAATTCAATTATAGGACACCTCCTTCTGTTCTTTTCTTGTGCTCGGTGGCCCCCACCCCCCCCCCCCCCCCCCAAAAAAAAGAAAAATCTGATTCTGAGGTAGCCTACTGCACTATTACTTGCTAGACTAGTGCTAGAAGTCCATAAGAAATGTTAGGGACCATATATATATATATACACGCGCGTATTCGACGTATGCTCATAGTTCTCCTAAAAAATTCATGAGAAGAGGAAACCTACATAAAATATATTTCGCTGCCCTAATAGCTTTTGAAAATTTAAATGACCTTTTTATTTAAATTTTGACTTTATTAGGTTAATTTATGACAAATGTTGTGAGCCTTTTTGTATATTTGACGAGATTGTTAGGTGTTTGACATCCAAAATTGTTGAAAAGGTGCGTTTTAAATTTCTAATAATGGCTAAAAATTTTCAAATATTTATTGATGTCATCTCATCCAAAACAGTAAAGGTCCAAGTTGCTGGATTTTATAGTGACGACATACAACAATTCAGATGATACAATGTAGACACTAGCATAATTGATGTAAATATTAAATACAAATATAGAAATTAATATGACAAGATAGAAAGAATAAAACTTGGTATTTTTTTAACACTATGTTCAATATTTAATCTCTATCATTCAATTAAAATACCCTATCTTCACTTTCAACTACACTCTGCTAAGACCCTGATCCCAATGACGTAGCTTATACTACTGTTTTTTTTTTTTATCGCAACAATAACATTTTTATAATCTAATTTATCATATTCTACAGGGAAAGGGAACTTAAAGAGGTTGTATAAAGGGCTAGCAGATATGCAGATCTGACTAAACCAAAGGGGGTGTTCTGACACTTCTTTTGAATTTTTCACTTCAGGTGTAATTCAAACCCCGATTTACAGTTCAAAAATGGACTTAAACCTTGTTTGATAATCCAATTCAGTACTTAAATTTGATGAATTTAGATCTTAACATACCCAGACTGTTTGATAACGAAAAATTGAATATCTGAATTAATTAAGTGATAAATTATTCATTTATCACTAGATGTGATATGCACTTAAATGTGTTAAATTTAATACTTAACAATTCAATAATTTAATAAATTCAAATTTCAAATTTTAAATTACAAACTTCAGTTTCATCAAAGATACTCTTCCTCCCTTTTTGGTTTGGCTCAGTGGTTTGCAGCTTACTACTGGTTGCTGCGGAGCCGAAGAAATTACTTTGCTTGGAATCGCCGTACGAGCACCAAACCAGCAATATGTTGTTGGGATTCGAGTCTTGTGGCGAATTCTGATGCTAGAATTGTTGGTGCAGGTCCTATATAAGAAAAAAAAAAAGATTCACAAAATATGTTGCTCGCCCAAAAGCAAAAGCTCAATCGGAGATCACTAATCTGCAATCAAAGGCCCGGCGGCAATTTGCTACACTCCACGTCACGTTCTCTGTTGCTCAAACGCAATACTATTTAGATTCCCATAAGCAATATAGAGGCAATGATTGATAGTACAGAGTCTCATAATGCAAGGTCAACGGAGAATACCAATCCCGAAATAGATTCCAATCAAGGCAATAACATTTATAAGGAGGATCAACTACTCAGTTAGTTTGACATCAACCAGCGTTGAAAATTCTTTTATAAGCTGCTTAGCATTTGGGATTTAAAAAAAAAAAAAAAAAATCGTTCCAGCACTTGCCCTTGGGTTCTAATATTAAAAAAAAAAAAAATAGGACAAAAATTGGGAAGGGAATTAGTCGAACTAAAACCTACTATTTCTTTTAGGAGGATTCTTATATTATTGTGTCAAAATTACCCACATCCACGTCGGAGCCAAAATTCAGCCTTATATGAGGGGCAAATTGCAATCAAAACTTGCCCGGGGGAATCAAGAGACTGCAGGCAGGCAGGCCAGCAAGAGCAGCTCGTCCCAAGTCAGGACATTTCTTTTCATGGATGCGTGAAGCTTGCTATGATGTCTCATCAGAAGGCACATTTAGTTGCACTGCTTCTTCCAACAGTAAACCATTACCCTCACCAGCTGCAGGCTTATATTTGTTCCTGCAAACTCCCTGCTTGGATCAGCTTCTCACAATGCAACCTGTCTTTCACTTGCTTTGTAATAGAGCATCTTCTGCACGTAGAAAATCATGTAACCTTGTGCAGCTCTCACAATGTTATCATTAACCTGAGTAATCCACGCATCATCGCACTTGTACCACTGATTACTCAATCTCAAGTAAGTTACATAGTGACCAGCATCAAGTTTCCCAGAGTGAGTGATGACAGCAAACAACTCAAATTCTGAAGACAATTCATTTGGAGAATCTGATTCATCACCATCAAACGGGAAGATTCTGTTTCCAAACCGACTTCTCAAGATAGATGAAGAGAGGTACGGTGACATGTCCAAGGAAAACGGAAACTGAAGAAAGCGATCAACCTTTTTCGACATTTTCTTGATATGAGAATGCTCAAATCTTTTAATGTGAAAGCAAGATACTAGAGGAAGCTTTCTTATGGACATCTGTTTAAGAGATTCTTGTCTTACTTGACACTGTTGGCAGTAGAACTTTTGGTCAGAGCCTAATCTCTCAGGTCTTGTAAAACGATCTAAACACCCCATCAAGGTAGAAACCCCCGTGCTCTGGCAAGCATTCTTGGAATCTGGCACACCATTGCAAGAATGATTGGATTTTGCAGATGTCAATTTTGCAGGACCCCCTACATTTGTTTCCAAGTCCAAGGAAATGTCAATGCATGGATCATATGTAGTGGATGTAAACCCACAAGCTGTACACATGACATCCGACCGCAAGATGCCAGAAAATACTCTATGAGCGATACAACAATCGCCACTACCTGCTGAAAAGGGAAAAGGATTTAGTTAGACTATATGATGTATCAGGGAAAACATTTACTGATCCTTGAGTTTTTCAGTGGCTTGCAAGATCAATATCTAATAAAGTAGACATAATAAACTGCTAGATTGATGCACATTGATACGAGCATTCACAGCACCAACTAAACTACTACACATCCACAAAAAAGGTAGTTCCAGTTCCAGGACCTTTATAGTAAAACAAAAAACACCATTAATTTCCGTTCACTTCACTCAAATATATGCAATTAAATATATGTTACCTTTTTAAGTTCAAGAACAATGATAAAAATTAATGTACAACAAACCCCATAACAAGGCTGCAGGAGAAACCATCCCCAAGTATTTTCTGTAGGAGGAGATAAAATGAGGAGCTAATTCTTCCCTATGGTGAACAAATATCAGGCTGATGAAAAGGAAATCACTGAAGCAGAACATCTAAGAAGCATCAAACGGTGGGTGTTGTTCTAGGGGCAGAACAGAACATCAACCTCGAAAGAACAACAACTCCACCAAAAAGATGCCAACAAGATCAAGCTGCAAAAATTACTATACCACAACAGTCTGACAACCATTTAGAGTTAATCTCAACTAGTCGAGAACCTGAAACTTTCTTCGAGCCTCACATGAGTTGCCTCAGATTAAAAACCCTAACAACGACAGCGCTGGAGTTAACATTGAAATAAACTTGACACAATAACAATCCTAGACTGAGACCATTTAGACTAGAAAAAGTACAACTTACTGGAGCAAAACAGACTGCAAGCTTGCTCTTTGGGTACTGGCCCTAAATACCCGAGCACTCATCAACTGCCTATAGCAAAGAAGAAAACCTAATTACACAGCCTGCAATTATATGTTGCTGTCACTCATGATCTAATACAGTAGTTTTTGGATCAATCATGATCATTTAAGATACTGGAATACAAAAGATGGGCACAAAATGACTGCCAGGATATTCTTAATCATGATTTTAGCCAATAAAATCTAGTTGCTTCAGTGATTTTTGAAGTCAGATTTTCTCGTGATTCCATTGAAGCTATAACGTTTAAAACTTCCTGAAACAAAGCCTTCTACCAACTACCAACTTTTTGCACTACACATCAAAATTGCTGAATGCATGCTAAGATGAGACAGATCATATTTGTCTGTATAACTATTGTAGTACAAAGGACAACTCTTCAAGTATAAAGCACCAAAACACGACCCTGTTGCACATAAATGTTCAAATTATCAGACCACAACCAATCATTTGATACCAACCAGCATAAATATTTTCAATCCACCAACATTCTAAAAATTAGGACGCTCAAAACTGTTGTTCCATATTGCAGCTTACAGGTGGCAGAAAGTACATGAAAGATTCTCCAAGCCAAAAGGATTGACGATATAATCCAACTAAAATGAACTCAAAAACTATCCTGTGATGAGTTATCACAAAATTACGAGGTTCGCCTACCCTGAGTATTAAATTTTGCATGATTGCATGCAGAATCAACAATATGTTTGCCCTGCTTAATTTCCAATTTTCATGTGTGTTGCATTGATAACAGAAATGAGAGAAAGTAGAGTTCAAGACATTTACTTTGAATCTGGGGCTTGCGTTTGTCCTTTTGTAACTTCTCATGAATCCCATCGAGCATGGAGATGAAAAACTCGTGTGCATCCTGCTGTTCATAACTTGCAAGATTTGATGCATGCTGCCACCAACTAAAACAGAAAATCTAATCCCATGAAAATCACAAATTGCATGAACTGCCCAACCTACTAAAATACATAGGTAAATATATCACAGAATTGAACCCAATACAGAACAGACAAATGAACTTATGCAACCAGAGACTTGAACAACAAGCAATCACAGGTAAACCATTTTATCTCGTCAGTCATAAGGCATGCATGGGTAGCTGAATCTATTGTTGACCTGGATGAAGCAGTCCTACTTCGATAATTAATACAAGTTCAACATTAACCCAATTGTACACAAGTAGGCACATTGACACCTTTCAACTAAAAATCAAATCTTTACCACCAAAAAAGCAAATCCGACCAAATTCACAAACCCTTTTTTTTTTCTTCCAAAAAAAATGCTAGCTGTACATTTTTCTTCATGACAGTATCATTATTA